ATTTGAACATCTATCATCTATTTTTTTATAAAAAAATCTATCATCCATCGAATAATGTCTTTTTCAAAGCAAATGACTACTCTTTTAGTCATTTTAAGTAGTTTTACTCTTACTTTTTAATTTTTAAATATAACTTTTAAATAAAAAATTAATATATTATATAAATATTAAATAAAATTTATTAATTAAATAAAAATATTTAACAAGAAAAACATGCATGATTCAAATATATATCATGACTTAGAGATATGTTCTTCTATATATGTACTTGAACTTCAAGCACCTAAAAATGAATAAATCTAGCAAAGAATGAATGCATTTTTACTAATAAGGTCATGTATACAAGAAAACTTTGATATTTTCTTTGTGTTTGTATTTACTTTAAAGAGAACTAACTAAAAGAAAAAAAAACCAAGATTGAAGATGATGTACCTTTAGGCTTTTGAAACAAAAATTGAAGAAAGTTTGACAATAATTAAACAAATTAACTAGGCCAAGTAAATTATAAGGGGCGGCAGATTTGGATGGTTGCAAGCCTAAAATTTTTTTTAATCATCAGAAGATCGCTAGTTGATTTGGAAAATGCTTAGCAGCAAACTGATTCGGAAATGAAGACTCATTATTTGTTTTATCAATACTTTGATTTGACCTTCTTAATTTCCGAGGAGGAGGTTCAGATCACCAAGATTTTCACAACCGTTCAACAAATATGCATACAAAATATCATTCCACGTATCATTTAGTCCGGTAAGTAAGCACCAGTGAACACAATCAATAAAATTTTCAAGATAAGATCTCTGTTCCATGTCAAGAGTTTGCCCTTCCATTCACCATAAACAGATATGAGCATCTTTCTAATAATCTTTTGACAATTGTGTAATGTTCAAAACTGTGGTGATTGATCTTTAGTTCTTGTAAGATGTTGCAAGCCATCTCCATGATGGCAAGACTAGATCCAATTCCCCACTATGATGCTTTCTTGGATTGGATAGGTATTAATTAAAGCAGTCTCATTCCCGCCTGGCTTCCATCCTTCCCCTTTGACGTATGCTGCAGTAGCAGCTGTGACAATCCAGAAAAAGCACAGAACCAATCCTGCATAAGGAAGAAATATACATTCACCATTCATAACATATGTCAATACCGACACTGATAAGCATAATGTCATGTATAACATCATTGAAAGTATTCCGTTAGTAAATATAATATATTGAAAATGAAAAAGCTTGCATACCTAAGAATGATGAAAAGGCAATGTACATCAACTTTTCTAGATAGATCAGTATATCATTATGAACAACTGAGGCAAATGTTAGCCAATCTGCAAAACAAAAAATAAAAAATTCTAGACTGTCATGGCATGAATGAAAGGCTAATAGACCATCAAAGGCAATAGAAACAGGCCACTACGTGGATATGATGAGAAATCGACAAAACATAACATCAAATGCAAGTTACCTCGTGCTCTTCACTTCCTGTGCCGTATGTCCCAAAGAAAACATGAGTGAAAATTGTACAGGTCTACATGTGTCAATTCAATCTCCTTGATATACCCTCCTACTGCCGGTTAAATTCAACTTCCATGGCCAATCTACCTATCTTTCCTCTGCAATTCCTAAGATAATTTGATCATTCTAAATCAGAAAACCATAATCACCGCTCGATTTCATAGAATAAGAAGGAAGTAGCATGCATCGAGATGGCCTAAGGTAAATACACTATAACCTTAGAGGGTCTAGCAACTGTAGCAAGAGGGATATCATGATTTGCTTCACAACCATAGTTGAGAGCAACTAGTTCAGGAGGAAGAGGCGAAGGCATTGAAAGGTTCTACAAATTCACAATCATTGATCAGTAATCAGAATCATATCATTTATATATATATATATATATATATATATC